TAAAGATTGAAGGGAAACTAAACTTGTGTGATGGGGTGTATTCCCCACACTGGCCCCTGAGAGGATAAATTAGGTGAGGCAAGCTTAACTGACCAATTAAGCAACCAGTAGGGGAGAGAGGCTACAAAGCTACTAATCAGAGGCAGGTGCACTGCAGCTGGGAAGGGGTCTGTAAAAAGCTCAGGAGCTGCAAGTAGCAAGAGACGCTGCAGGAAAGGCAGGCTGTAGTTACTTCCTGAGTGGAGGGAGTTGGGAGGCTGGTATACCCTACCCTGAGAGGGTGGGAGCCAGTGATGTAGGAAGAAGCCCAGGGAAAAAGCAGCAAGGGCTAAGATTGTACAGGCCTTGACTACATGTTATAGGATCCCTGGGCTGGAGCCCAGTATAGAGGATGGGTTAGGGTTCCCCTACCAGCCACTGGGTAGTGGCACAGAGCATTGGAGACGTCAGCCAGACAGTTGGTCCAGAAGGACTGCGATTTCCCTGGATGGGGAGGGCCAAGCCACGGACTGGAAGCTGCTGCTCCAAGAGCGAGAGAGAGGCTGCAGACAGAGAAAATGGGTAAAGAGACTGCTGAGGAGAGCGAAGCACCGGGCAGAACTGATCACCAGGACGGCCAGAAGGGAGGTGCCACATCACATCGTCTGGCACAGACAAGTGCATGCTGTATCCGTAGTTACTTGACTCATGTGACAGGGCTATCAACCAGTGGCTTGTTTAGACAATTGATATATCTGTTCAAGCACACTCATGTCAAGCCCTTATTATAAAAATCTCTGGTTAATGCTGTTAACAGAAAAACTTGGATGATGACTAAATTCTAAACCTGCTTGTTTTCAGTACATTCAATACTTGTCCTCTTTTCTGAATCTGTCAACTAGTTATGATGCCAGTTACAATGTTAGGTGGGTTTTTGTATGTATAGGCTTGTTTACTTAAAATTAGACAGAGACCATCAATTCATCTTAGATAGCCCTTTAAACATTAATGGACTTTTAGTCACACTGACTGCACACAGTTGTGCAGGCCTGAAAGTAGGGAGCTGGAGCTGAAGGATGTTGTTGTCCATTTCCAGTCCCCTAGGCTACAGAGTCTGCAGAGAAAATTCTTTCACCTGCTTACCTTCATTATACTGTACGACTGATTAAAAGATTTACATTATTTCTAAATTATAGGCAATTTTGTCCTGCTATGTAGTTTCTAGTAAATGTTGGCTAATATTTGTTAGGAAAACAGCATTTTAAAACTTTCTTGTTGCATATGGCTGTCAGGAATTGAACAAACAGGGTGAAATAGTGAGTCAAAGAAGTAAATGGCAAAATTCCCATTGACTTCAACGGGGCCAGGATTTCAACCATTGTTTTTCTTGAGCAATATATAGATTTAGTGTAGGATGATGTCAATGATGCCAATGATGCATTAATCTTATAAGTGGTACTAAGGTTTTATGTTATTTATGTCAAGTTGGTGAAGCTGTTACTCAACATCTGTGACTAGCTGCCAAATACTTCACAGCTGAAATTATTGATGAACCTTTAATAGTTCATTGGGTGGCAAGCAACACTACTCTGATGTTTTGTTTATCACTGTTAAAGGACAGGATGGTGATGGTAGGCATATGACTCAATGCTTCATATCCTGTGTGGGCTAACTGCTGGACACTGAAATGGGCATACTTCATCCTGTTTATAAATCTCTCTGAGGTCTGAGCTACTTATAAAAGAATTAATGTTCCTTGGAAATGTCAGTCAGAACTTTTCATTTTAATATCATGCCTGGTTGAATTCAAAACTGGCATTTTTATACTGACACTGTGCATGAACTGACATGTCCTGGTACATGTGCCACCCTAGATTTAGAAAATAATAAAATCCCCACAATATATTGACGGAAACAATATTATACACTTACAGAACTAGCCTCCTTGCTATTTATTTCTTACTGACCTTGTAAATGCAACCTTGCTGCAGGCTTCCACAAATTGGAACCCTGCTACAGTATCCCAATTCAGTAGGACTGCAGAACCATATACTTACGGTAAGACCTCATTTCTGGAATACATTAGCCTAATAACTGAAATGACTGTCTCAGATAATTTTTGGTTCTGTTCTATGAGAGGCAGGTCTACTGCCTTCCACTATGGTTCCTCATGCTCTGAGAGACTGAGAATTTCTTACTTTCTTGGTGTTTCTCCACCTCAAGAAAAATAGCCTGCCTGGGGAAGAAAAAGAGAGTGAGAAAATGAAAACCATGCTGTTTTCTTAGTTTTATTTTTAATGTAATTGTAAATATGCATAAAGAACAGGAAGGTTGAAACGTCAAGCACTCAGAAGTTTAGAAATTCCAGAATTAAGGGTGTCTGTGCAATCTTTATTTGGCTTCCCTGTGCATATGCATTATCATACAATCCTTCATTACATGATCACGTGCTAGTTTTTCCCTTATAACACATTTGCACAAATAATATTTCTTAGATTGAAACTTTCAGTTTAGAAGAGTTTTCAGCCATCTGAGAGGGGAAACTAAAGACGTGATACAAAAGTAGCAACATAAGGCAGAGACAATGGAGTAGAGGCTGGTTATTGATGGAGGGAGCATAGAGTGCATGCGCATTTGAAATTGGGGAACATGTTCTTTGTGGAGGCAGGAACTTGATATCTCATTTGGGAGGACTACTTGTGGAAGGGAGAAGCTCAAAAAACGGGGAGTGGGATTGCTTCATGGGACTGCCTCAGCTTTGAAGGGACAAGCCCTGCAGCTTTGTTTCCCTATAGACATGAACTTGTTCTTTCTTTGAAGATGGAATCTTTGTTACAGTACATCCTGAATTGTACTGTGTGTTTGCCCTGTTCTACTTTAGTGGTAGTAATTTGAGGGACTGATTTATTGCTGTGTTACTCACTTCTACAGCAGTGTAATGCCGGGGATTTCAGTGGCATTACACTGATGTAAAAATGGTATCACAAAGTGGTGAATCAGGCCTCAGAATACATAAGATGCACACTGTATCAAACAGCACTTCAGTAAGTGTAGAATGGAAGTAACTGAATAAACGTTAGAAGTTGGTAGAACTGTTGTAACTTGATCGTAACCACAGCATGTCTGTGACACTGATTGTCCACAACCATTTTTTGCTTATGCCACATCCATGCAGCAACTCAATAGCACACAGCCTGAGCTTTAGCACAGGGAAAAAACAAAATCTGCTGGTTTATTATTTTAATTGCTTTAGGTTTGCACAAAAGTAACAAAGTTGCTTATCCAAAGATCTAAATGCCCTGCTATACATTACAACTCTCCCGCCCCTCTTCAAAAACAAACAAACAAACTATCAGAACACACAACTCCCATCTCCACTACAGATATAATCACCATCTAAATCCACCACATGCAGGAGCTTGTGCAAAGAAAAGTTAAGTGAATGGAGTTGGGGAACAATTAGTTGGTGAGGGTCACCTTTCACAGGAATTA